GTGTAAAACACAAAGTCACACACATAATAACACTACTGGTACATAATATAACACGACACACAAGAGTTTTATAAATCTGACGTACAATGTAACTCAAGTGCATGTGTTATAATAGGGTTTCCCACAAAGCATGCTAAGTGAGCTAAACAGCATGCTTCAATCATGAGCTGACAAGCACTACAATAATACATCCTTTGGGAAAATTCAAAAAAATTAATTTTTGATCCGAATTAGCTCAAGCTTGTCACATAACATAAAAACATGTGCATGTATCAGAAAAAAATAAATGAGCCTAGTCATTTTTGGCAGAATTTGGCCAAAAACCTGTACATGTACTAGTTAGTACAGAGAACTTGATATATTTTAGAGTAAATTCAAAAATTCACAAAAATCCAATTTTAGTCGAAATCAGCTCAAATTTGCTACACAACACTGTTGACATGAACCATCAATAATACTAGTAGCATATCTCTTACCCATTGATGGTATTAAGTAGTTGAACTGAACATCAACAGAACTAGTCTCTTTGATCGATTGTTCCTCTTGAGATGTGATCCTCTCCTGTTGTTGTGATTTCTCTTTCAATAGTTTAGATATATATGCATCTTTCTCAGATACCGTAGTCTTGAAATCATCTACAGAAAGATATACAGTATGTATCTCTCATTCAATATATGCTGTGTATTATTGACTCACCAATAATTATCTGCTTTTCTTTAAGTTGTTCCTCTGCTTGTGTCTTCCCTTTCAATACTTCAGCCAAATATAATTCATTATCAGCAACTATAGCTTTAAGTTTCTCATATTCTCCTACATTAATAGAATATTCTCTCATCTAATATTATGTACTGATGATACACTAACCAGTCATTATTTGTTTCTCATCCACTGATTCCTCTAACTCATCAGTTTTAAGCTTCTTAGAATTATCTGCAGAAATTAAAATTTATTTTCAACATGATAAAAAGCTGGAAAATAAAAGTCAATATAAATACCAAATACAATATTTCCCAATAGTTATGGTTTCATTTATACTCCCTAACCTGAGTGTGGTGAGTCCTCTTGATCTCTCTTTCGTTTAGTAAGAAGAGTCTTAGTTTCTAGTAGCTGTGTTTCTAATGTTAGCATCCTCTTCTCTTGAATAGAAATAAAATAATGAAAATAAACAATGGTTATTTTCCATTCATTGTTACATTGTTACATCACTCAGACATTCCAAATTATCTATCAATTGTATAAAACACACAGTCACACACATAATAACATTAAACTTACTGGTACATATGTATGTCTTAGAGTGCAATAAACATTAAAGGTGAATTTAGAAAATGATTTTGGATATACATTTGTACATGTACCGTTATCATGAATTTAAAAAACTGAGGTGCAATCCCTTACAAGGCTATCAACCACAAAATTAGAATAATAAATGGGCCACTAAGAGCAACCCACACAATACTAGAACTACACTGTGTACATAGCCATTAAGTAATCTTACCCATTGAAGGGATCATGTAGTTAAATTGTACTCCAACTGAGTCAGTTCCCTTGATGCTAAATTGATCCTGTTCGTGTAGAGTGAAATCGATCTTCTCTTTCTTCATAATCCCTTGATCTTCTATACAAAATGATCATAGTAATGCATGACAATAATCACACTGATAGCTAGAAAATGTCTGACAAGATTACTGACCTAAATGAATCTTTTCATCAAAATCCTGATCCTGTAGTTTAATGACTTTACCCTTGTATTCTCCAGACGCTACATAAAAAAGAAACAATTAAATATACATATAACAAAAATTCAAAGCTGATTCTATGACTATATATAATTTATGCAGAACTGGATAATACAATTACATGTACATGTACCTTTAGTGAACTCCACAAACTGCTTCTCTTCATCCTTTTCATAATATAAACTCTTAGCTTCCTGCAGTTGTGATTCAAGTCTTAGTATCATTTCGTCTTTTTCCATTAGAGCAGCAGCACTAGAGACTAATAATTTCAATAATTAGAAAATAAGTAACTTCATATATTTGTAGATTAATAAATCAAAAAAAATTATCGCTAATATGATTTACACATGCAGTTTTAATTGACCAATCAATATTTGTATTGTTATAATAAAACACCAGTAAAAATTATACTTTTACATGTATATAAACATGTAAAATACAGTTCATTTTTAGTAGCTGCTACATGTATTTGTTTTAAGATATACATGTATGCACAATATCAATTTCTATGGCATTTATTAATAACACAACTGTTTCGCTCAGTTAATGAAGGAAATGGAAGCTTCTGCCTTATATCAGAAGTTACATGTACATGTCATTCCAGTTACATGCAT